AAATATCTTGAGTTCTATTTAAGATAGATGGATATTTTTATCCTTGAAAGTAAGGCAAATAAATCAGCTTTCAGATGATACCAATAATAACACCACACGCCCAAAGATTGACAAGCGCCTTTTATTATTATAGTAGAGGGTTTGACGGCACTCGCAACTGCATAAGGTCATATGAGCGCCAAGGGGTGAGTGTCAATAGAGAAGTGTATACAGGGAATCAGACTTACTCTGCTCACCTCTCTAGCTTCAACAGCACAAGGTCTGCTTCAACTATCAAGGCACCCCAGAAATAGCAGGTCACAAGAATGTGACAAACATACAAAAGAAGTAGAGGAAAATGACAATAGTAAGGACAAGTGCCTGATTCCACCACATCATGACACAACTGATTACATAAGTCGTCAAAATCACCCAGTTGACTCAAATGACATTTTAATCTTGGTTTTGGAACACACTCTAAAATAGACATCAATCATAGTTTGCAACAACTGAAGGAGAATGATGAAAGCCCGGTAGTCCACAGACTTAATCTCAAAACCTGGGGGATACGAGACTCTTGATAAATATTGCACATGGAGGCTCAACACGAAAAAACACATCACAGAGACACGAAAAAACACATCACAGAGGTAAAGGATTAACTAAATGTTCAGCGCCTTATAAACAAAATCACGATCACTTCGTGGCCGGACAGATTGAGCATGCCTATCAAAGCCAAGCAGGGCTGAGAAAGATAGAACATCTCCGCAGACAGATGGAGACACTTCATATTAAAAACTTTGCCACTTCAGAACCAAATTCCCGTCTTGTGTGTATAACTATTACAGAAAAGATTCTAGCTGCTACATCACACAATCTGGTACATCATAGAGATTTAATAATTTTTAAAAAACCAACAAAAAGGTTCACTTGCTGGAAACACTAACACCAAAAATTTCACAAAATAAGTCTACAGTTGTAACATATAAAAGTTTTTAAAGCCACTTTCAACACTATTAAGAGGTTCAATGCCATTGTTTTTCACTCTGCCTGTCAGAGCCAACCCTCCCTGCGTGAGATACAGTACCCCTCCCCAAAAAGGATATCTTCAAGGAAATAAAACTCTCAAAGATACAATTTGAACTCACAAACTCAGACCATAATCCTTACACAACAGACTAAAATACTGTGTTATGCTCCAAAGACAGACGTAAGATGATATCAATATTGTAGAAAACATGCTACTTTGCTCTGGATGCTTCTATCTTTGTACTTATGAGTCGAGCACTGAATTTTCCCACACTGGAGAATAAACAATTCAAGGTGCAAAAGTTCTTGAGCAAATTCTTGCAAATAAACAATGTCCATTTGAATACAATAAATATGACATAAACTATTACTGTCGACCAGCAAAGCAGCCAGGGCCGAAAACTATGAGTCCTTGAAACAGGCATCGACCAATATAAAGGCCATTTAGTGCAAAATAAAAGACATCGGAAAAATTACAATCAGATGGTACAAGTCGGACTACTGCTACCCTCCAACCATCTACAGCCGACTGTGAATGAGTTGATGTTGTCAGGGGAGTGAAAATGGATCTATCCATCCAAAGTCCAACAATTGTAATGTAGAAGAGGTGCCCAAGAAAAAGATCAACTTAACTAAAATTCAACTCAAGTGAGTTTAAGACAAGCGGAGTTGACTGTACGTACCATCATCATCATCATCAAGTACTTTGTCTGCAGTAGAAATTAGTAGCATTTGTATTGACTCGTCATCTCTCTCATATTATGTTCACAGACCTTATGAATGAGTTGTTCTTCATTATGTCATAAGTTACTGGCAAATAAAAGAAGAAAACTGAGCAGTGTAGCATACCTTGACATTGTTATGGCACCAAACATAACAGACAAAGAGAAACAGAAACTTCCAAAGTTGCGCTATTTTTATATGTGAGGCATCGTGGTAAAATCAGCTGCTTGTCACACTAATGAAATCCAAGTAATAACAATAATTTTTCTGCCAGTCTGGCTATTTTTATTACAATTTTTTTTGGACCCAACACCTTTTACGTTTACATCCATTTAAAAACACATTTATAAGTGAATTTTACTGAAAAACGTTGATTAAAAGCACTAAATATGTATTTCTTCAGTTTTCAAGGACTTTCAAACAACTGAAGTAACCAAACTTTGGCAGTTATTGACCACTAACCCCACCACTTTCAATCGTAAATATCTCAAATTCTATTTCAGAAAGATGAGTATTTTTTTTTCCATGGAAACCAAGGAAAAAGAATAAGCTTTAATTTGATACCAATAACTCCACATCCTCCAGAATTGACAAGCACCTGATTCCCCCACTTCGTGACACGTACTATAAATCTGCAGACGTGCCAAACACTCCAAGACCAAAAATAGGTGTTTTCCTCTGAAATGTCCCTAAAAATCGGAGTTAGGGGGTAAAATCGAAGTTCTCAGAACTCAAGTAGAAAATGATAAGAATTTACATAGGCAAATAAATGCGTATGGTAAATACATGTACACAAATACAAATAAAAATGTATATAAGTCGCACAAATATTGCAAATAAATGCAAATTAATTCATGTATTTTCATGCCATTTATGATAAGTTGCACACAACCGATGGAAACAAAATTCAAGACAAATTCGGATTTTATGCAAACCCGATTAGCACTTGGCAGGTCTGTGTTCATTAAACACTTGTAACAGCAGCTGCCAACAATGTCTGAGGCAGCGTAGTGAAATCTGGCGCTCCCCCAAAAAACACTGAACTTGAAAGAAAAAGGCATTTATCTGGGCATTGGGCAAATTAAATTTTTTTTCTTTCTTGATTTGGCTCAACACCTTTTGCATACTTTTATAAATGCATTTCTGTGTGGATGTTACCCAAAAACGTTCACTAAAGGCACAGAAATTGTAAATTTCCAGAGTCCAAGAACTCACAAGCTTTGGAAATCACCAAACTTAAGTGGCCATTTTCTCTCTACTTTTACTTCTTACACAAGGCAACTCCCACCTTCAATCGCAAGCATCCTGACTTCTATTTAAGATAGATGGGTATTTTTTTGCCAACTGTAGGACAAATGAATCAGCTATAGGATGATATTAATAACTTAAGTGCCCAAAAATTGATGAGCGCCTGATTCCACCGCGACGTGACATACAATATGAGGCAAGAACACATAAGTCTGCCGCAACTCAAAGGAAATAATTTTTCTGGTCACTGGACTTTCAATCAAACTACAGAGAAAGAAAAACCACAGACATTTATACTTATTCTGAAGCTGAAACGTGTGCAAAACCGTTTAACTTATCATAAACATCAAAGCAGAGACCTGGGAAGACACAAGAGACCTGTTGTGGCAAGGGGTGGGGCACCAAAGAACAAACCAGGGCATGGTGACTGGTGACAAGCTAAACATGAAAGTTAAACACATTCATTCCAACTTCGAACACAACATGTACCCCTCAACCAACATCTCAACCGAATTGGAGTAAAGCAGTCTGCTGCCTGCCTACTATGTGACTACCCCTCAGAGACAGTGGAACATCATCTGTTCTTCTGTAGAAAACTAATTGATTTAAGGGGATGTTTTCTTCCCAAGCTACCCCACACATCTAATTGCCTCTACTCCTCACCACAATTAGAACAGACATGCAGCTATTACCGAATGGCATCATGTAGAAGAGTTAACGCTCAGATGCTACTGGATCGCTAACAACAACAAACACATTCATTCCAAACATCGTTTTGCACTGAATGCTCTCACTTCACTATCAGTGGACTCAGCATCTGCAAGCGTAGACTTTTTTTTCGTTTTGATAAAAGTGTTTTACGGCACTCGTAACTGCATTCGGTCACATGAGCACGTAGCACAGACGCTGTATCAACACAAGTACTGCCAGAAGCTGACAAAACGCCTTTTCTTCATTCTGGCGCCAAAATTTATTATTCGCTAAATTGAAAGCCTGATCTGTTAACCCCACTAGAGTGAAAACTGTGACTAGTATTTGAATAAATTTGAATTCAAATTTCGAAAGAACTCGATTTTTCAATGACAAAAAAACCCTCTTTTTTTCGTGCTGTGAATGAAAAAAAAGCGTGTAAAGTCAGCTTATGGCGGAGTGGACTAACACCTAAAAACAAAGGCAGAGCTACAACAAAATTGTTCACATAAAACATTCATCGTTGACACGCTACCCTGGACACAGTCACGATATAGTTACCTCATTGTGAACTTGTGTGCTGGGATAAAATCATAGCCCTAGTGGTAAAACTAGCTGACTTACAAAATATCAAAAAAGTTTTATTTGCTAAATGGATAGTATATCATCCATTTCATATGCTCAGATAATTAAAAACCGGTCTGAATGCTCTTACACAGAAAGAAAGAAACCTGAACAACCCACTGGCTACAACGCTGCTGCATGATGAAACAAAAAGTATTTTTTTTCTGCTCCTTTAAAATGTACTCTACTGGGGTTAGCCGGTTCACAAGGGAAGGAGACGATATACAAGATAGAGCCAGCTCAAGTAGGAGGCAAACTCTGTTTTTCAGGAGGGTTGTACGTCTGAAGACGATGTGTTGTAGATTTAAACTTTAAACTTTTAACCACTACATCAACACCTGCTAGCATCTGTGGTGTGGCCGCTCGGTGGTTCACTGTTGCAGAAGGCTTTAGTTTGATTCCCACCAGGAGAGAATTTTTATAAACTATCTCTGGCTGTCTGAAGGGACCTAGCGTCATGCAACAATGTATAAAACAACCAATGCCCTCAAATAAACAGTTTGTAGAGCAACCATTCTCATACCAGACAGTTTCTAGAACAACCATTGTCCTACCAGACAGATTATAGAACAACCATTGTCCTACCAGACA